ACTTTTCAAAAATTGTCTGTGATTCTATTCAAAAACACATTTTTTTTCTTCTACAAGATTGGTCAAACAACTCAACTTTAAAAAGATACTTAAAAAAATAAAGTACTTTTATTAAAGAAAAATTTGACCAAACAGGTTATTAATATTACATTTTTTTCTCTATGTCCTTCTTGTTTTGTTGTTTAGAACACAGAAGCCTTGAGAAATTTGGTCAAATTTAATGGGCTTTTGCAGCCCTTCTTGTTCCCCATTCCTAGTGCTGTACAGTGTAATATCAATTCAAATTTATATATCCCCAATCGCGCTCTCAAAGCGTATATCCACCTCCACCGCAGTACTCCTGCTCTCTTTCATCAAATGTACTTACTATATTCATTTGGAGAGCTGCAAATAAAAAAATAAAATAAATGTTACTCCCTCTGTTCTAATTTATGTGAACCTGTTTGACTGGGCACGAAGTTTAAGAAAAAAATAAAGATTTTTGGAATTTGTGGTCCTAAACAAGTCCAAATGGGGCCCAGAGTATTTGTGTGGTTATAAAAGCTTCTCATTAAGGGTAGGGTTGTAAGTTTAAGAAAAAATGTTACCAAATTTAGAAAGGGTTCATTCTTTTTGGAACGGACCAAAAATGAATTAGGTTCACATAAACTGGAACGGAGGTAGTAGAATATAAAAGGGAAGATCTTTGGTAGAATTAAAATTATGCTGTATGATAAATTAACGTTTCAACTATAGATTAAACTTCAATAACTTGCACATGCCGTAAATATATATGTTGTACTTTCAAATGTTTGCAAATCAAATGTGAGCTGTTTTGCAGCTACTGTACAAAATGATCCATTTGAAAACCTCTAAATTGAAAGTTATTATAGATGTTCTTCTGTGTTACTATTTTTATTTAAAAATAAAATAAAATTATAAATAAATTTGTAAGAAATTACAAAAAAAGAATTGCAAATTGATTGTTCAATATTACTACCCCGTTTCAAATCAGATGAGGTATTTTTTTTTTAGTATGTTCCAAAATAAATGACACATTTTTAAATTTAAAAATAATTCAATTTTAAACTTTTTATTTTACCCATTTTACTTTAATGAAAAGCTTTTATAACCAAAAAATTATCATAGCCCCACAAAACTCTTACCCCTTAAGCTTTAAAACCATAAGTTTCAAAAAATTTCGTTTTTTTTAAACTCCGTATCGAATCAACCTAGCTAGGGCTGCTTATCGGGCGGATTGGGCGGTTATTTACACTTAACGGTTTGGCTTATCGGTTATCGGCTTTTAAACGTATTAATCCGCTAGCCATCCGATAAGATATCGGGCGGATTGGTATCGGTTTAGCTCTTATCGGGCCGTTTATCGGCCTAATTCAATCTATATTACGTGCATTAATTGTTTGATGACCGCGTAGCATACAAATTCAGAATAGGAAATTACAGATGAGTCCAGACATACATATGTCTGTTAACGCCTATATTACATCCAATATGTTGAATCAACAATATTGAGCAGATTACACAGATTCCAGAGAACCCCTTTGTCACTCAGGAAGAAAAGTTCACTACCTTAAATGACAGAGGCAACTATACTCAGACCAAACATAACAAAAGATACATATAGCTAAAAGAAAAAAACAAGCTTAGACATTCACAAACGATGGTACAAGATATTTCATCCCCCTTTATTCTTCTTAGCAAACCCAACTTCAAAAAGAAATCTGGACAAAAATCCCCCATTCTGCTTGCCATTATTTAANGCTCTTCCGATCTTCTTATCAGAGACCAGTGAGTCTCAAAATCAGGTTCATATCCACATCGTTGCATGGAACGTAGGAGCTCAGATGCCTTGTTAAGATTATTCTGGGAGTGATACACGTTGATCAGCCATATATATATATATATATATATATATATATATATATATATATATTCTTAACGGGTTAACGGATTATCCGTTAAGAAAATTGAATAATCCGCCCTCAAATCGATAAGCCGTTAATGAAAAAATTTCAATCCGTTCCACTACTAAAAATCACCTTTTTACCGACGCAACAATACCGACGGACTTTTTTCCGTCGGTATTCCGAAGGACTTTCCGACGGAGTCTCTCGATACTTTTGAATTTTTTTATTTCTAATTTTTTTAAAAAGGAACCGACGGACTTCCGTCGGTAAATAATGATATTTTGACCGATCAAAATTTAAATGGTTGTACCGACGGATTCCGTCGGTAAATTACCGATGGACTCCCTCGGAAAATTTTGTATTTATATTTTCGAATTTTTTTTTAGGGTGTCTGTCGTTGCTTTAAAAAAAATAAGTGAAAAAAAAAAAGTTATCCACGTACTCAATCGCTATTGCATTTACATAATATTTTGAATTTTGTTCTTACAGTACCGATGGACTTCCGTCGGTAATTTAAATATATAATCTTATGTATAATTATTTTTTATTTTTTATTATACAATACCGAGGGAGGCCGTCGGTAAGTCCCTCGGTAAGTATTTACTTAATTATCTTGGTGGTTGATTAGCCTATTTATTGAAATTTACACTAAGTGAAGGTAATTATACTATTTAAAAATATATTAGTGGTAATAAGCTTAATAATTTATAATTACACAAAGTAAAAGTGAATTTGTAGTATCCTTAACTACATTGATTAACCTATACATTAATAATTACACACTAAAAAGAATTGTATTAGTTGTTTCCATAAGAAATATTAGTGATGATTTATCTTATAAATTGATAATTACTGTAAGTAGAAGTGTATTAATGGTTTCCTTAAGTAACGTTAATAATTTATTATCATACACATTGATAATACTAAGTAAAAGTGTATTAGTTGTATTTAGCTTGTAGATTGATAATTACACGAAATATAAGTGTATTAATAATATACCTGTAAGTAATGTTGGTGATTGATTAGCCTATATACATTGATAATAGCACTAAGTATTAGTGAACTAGTGGCATCCTTATATAAGCGACGTTAGTGATTGATTAGCCTATACATTGATAATTATACACTAAATGGAAGTGTATTAATGCTAGTTGTGAGAAATGTTTGTGATTGTTTATCTTTAGTTTGATAATTAAGGTAAGTATAGATTTATTAGTAGTATCATTAAGTAATATTAGTGGTATCCTGAAGTAATGCTAGTGATTCATTAGCCTATACATTGATAATTATACTAATTAAGTAGAAGTGTATTAGTATAGTCTTAAGAACTATTACTGATTGATTAGCTTATATATTAAGAATTACACTAAGTAGAAGTGTATTAGTAATATCAGTAAGAAATGTTAGCGATTGATTAGCTTATAAATTGATAATTACAAAAAGTAGTTGTGTATTTATATATATATATATATATATATATATATATATATATATATATATTTATATATAAATAATTACCCTAAATAACAATGTATTAGCTATAATTAATTTATAGATTGACAATTAAACTAAGTAAAAGTATATTAATAGTTATATCTTTAACTAATATTAATATTTGATTAGCCTCTACATTGAAAATTCTACTAAGTAGAAGTGTATTAGCAGTTTTTTAAGAAATATTACTCATTAATTAGTTTATAAAATGATAACTCACTAAATAGAAGTGCATTTGTGATATCCTTAAGTAATACTAGTATTAGTACCCCTGCGGATGCGCGGACACTAATCATATCAAATATTTAAGTTATTTATTTCACCTTATATTTTGTAAAATCAAGATGCATAAAAGTGAAGGAGGTTGATCAAAATGAACAATTTGATATAATGTACTGGTAAGAAATAAATATATAATTATAAACTAAAGCACCAAAAGAGAAGAGAACTCTTCTTCTTATTTCAACTATATTATCCATGAGCTAAAAATGCTCTATTTATAGTTACAAAGGTATCCTCTCAAGTTATAATAATTAATGGGTTCATTCATGTGGTGCATGAATTATTAACGAAGTTACAGAAGGGACATCCACATTCATTGAATTTATAACATGTACGACTATTTCTAACCTCAATATAAATTGAGTCATTCTCCAAACTCTATTTGTTTAACTATGTTTTGATTACAGTTGATTGAAAACCTCTTAATTAAATATGTCATTATTATATCTAGTCTTTTCTTGAATAAGATTACAAGATTAGGTTCTCGTTGAACAATGTCACATCTGAGTAATAATTAACAGATTAATCGCACAGACTTAAAAGAGGGGTTAGAGATGACGAAGTTTTGGCGCGTTTGATGTGAGTCGTTTGACTTGTTAGCTAGAATTAGCTTGAGAGAATAATTGTAAAAAATACTGCTTTTGATCGAGAGATAATTACGTTATGAGAGAATTCACGATCAATAAAGAATAGTTCGGCAAAATTATAGGAAACATGTTAGACACTTATTGAAAAATACCTTTATTTACTTAGTTACTTATTTTTATTGCTTTAACACTTGTTAATCAATAGCTTAAATACAAATTACAATTTTTATAACTCGAAAATTACTTGAACATGTTTTCTTAGTTATATTAAATAGTTATAGGTAAGCGTCATTTCTCGGTGAATTCAATTCCAGACTCTTATTTCTAGCAATTTTTTTATTTTTTAGGATTAAAGTTGGACGTGGTGAATGCACTTGAATGTCTTTTATTTTTTGTATAGTAGGACTTTTGAATTCAAACAAATAATATTTATAATTTTACAACTTTGTTACGTTTTATCTAGCCATGGATATTTAGCATTTTGAATATAAAATAAAATATTTTTATGAGTTGCTGTGAGTTTGTTCTATATTTTAATTTATTATTTGTTAGTAATTTAGTTATATTTTCCAATTTTTAAATTTAAATAGTAAAAAGGAAATGAAAGAGAAAAATAGAGAAAACAAAGATATTAAAAGACGATATCAGCCACCATCTTTATATGTTTTGATCTGCACATTAGGGGGTAATTTGGATATTAGACTCAAATTTATGGAACCGGGAAAAATTCCCTCTCCTTTCTCCCCCCTCCCCCCATCCCCCCTTTTTTCCAAAGCGCACAATTAGTTCCCTCACTTCAACTCACAAATTAGGGCTTAATTTCTGCAGGGCACAATTCGCTCTGGTCGTCGCCATCTCTACAAAAAAGATTCGCCGCAATCCGAACAATAAAGGTCTGTACTTTATCATACTCTTCTTTGCTCTAAATAGTCTTTGTTTACTTTCTAATGTAGAGTTCGTATCCGAAATTATTTTCGATATGCCTTTAGAATTTGGATCAATATATTATTACAAGTACTGGGTTATATTTTGGTTCAATTATTGTGTGGGTTCCTCGAGGTTCGATGGCAAATCTTACCTTTTTGAGAATCGTTGTTGTGGAGGAAATAAGTGTGGGCTTTTGAAAAGAAGGATCTATACTGAGAGGTTGTATATTAGTATTATAGTATTTGGAAGATCTTTTATCTTTAAGGATGATTGGAGTTGAAGACTCGGTTCATATGAATCCTGTGAAATCTTCTCCTCTCACGCGAATTTGGTTCTTGCGCCACAGTTTTCTCTTTTTCTGATTTAACAATCATATATTCTCTGATTATTGGAGTTTGATATTAATTTATTCGGTGATAGACAGATTTAAACCAATTCAAAAAGTTTGATATCGTAAGTATTCTATTTATTCTTATTTAATCATTCCTCTTGTTTCTCAATTGTAAGTAATCTTTTATTTTCATTCTTTTTCTTTGTCTTTTATTTACCTTAGCGATTTTTCTGGAACGATAGGCTATAATGTTGTATTTGTTAGGACCTGCGTGCCTATTTTTAGATAGAATGGATGATGTAAATGATTTGAGATCTGCAACATTTATTTGATCCTTTTGCTGTTATAGATTTTGATTTTAGGAGTCACTATATTTTTTAAGTTAATATTCATGTAGAGAATATGCATATAATTGATTAAAAGAAATTGTTGGGTGGGGGTGTGTATATATGGTTAGTATATACTCTTCTTGAGCGAGGGTCTTTAGGAAACAACCTCTCTACCCCTCGAGGTAGGGCTAATTTAATGCACTGCATGAAGCTTTTCAAGTAAATACTTTGCAACATCTGAGAATATTCTGTTCTTTAATTAGTCTAAAAGGACATCAAATGGGTTATGTTGTATGTATGCAACTACTGCATTCTTGTATATGAAATATGAGTGCAATTACATGAACTTTTATACTACGTGCAGTTTGTTGTATGTAATTATCAACTGGAAATCATGTATAAAATTACAGGAAATCAAATTTTAATGATTCTTATTTTATTGGTGAATAATTTTTTGTTGTGCCTTGCATTTTGTTTATAATGTCAAGGTGATGCACATCCATCGCAAGATAAATCCTCCACGAGTGCAAAGGTCTGGTGGGCTCTATGATAGCATTGAGGAGTAAGTTATGTTTATTAACTTTTTTGGCTAGACATTTTTTTAGAGAAAACTTAATTTATATAACATACTTTTTATTATAGGAAGCTACAACCATTGAAGAATATTTGCAGCATTCTCAATTGCTCTGAAATTGAAATGTATCCTTGAATGCATTGATTCACTTCGTTATACGTGTGCTTGTTCATAGTGTTGCAGGTTAATATAGAAAACATGGATAAATGGGATAAGTTACTACTGAATATGAGGTTGGGGTTATCTTGTGCAATGTGATCTTCGTTGATGTGGTATTAATGTCACTTCTACCTTAATTCAGATGCACTCGTAATAAAGTTTTCTCTGAACATTTTAGCTCTATGTTTATATGCTGCAGCCTTTAATTCAGAAATAGACTTATTATTATGTTAGGTCTTGGCTATAGACTATGGCTTAGTACTATAACGGTTATTTGTCGCATTGCATTTCTTTCATATTGGGGAACCTTGGTTCAGTATATACAAAAGCCTCCCAAATGTCGTAAGAAATATAATATCATTTGCTAGATATTTTTGCATAGAGACGTGGTATTTGATGAGTTAAAAGATAAACTTTCTGTCATATTGTATTAGTGTTGTCAATGTTAGTAGGACTCTGAAGTATCTGGCCACAATAAGTCTTTACTTATATTTTGTTGAAGCTTACTTTAGTTAGCATTTCTTTTGCAAATAAGTTTAATTCTTCCTAATTGATCATAAGTTGCCAACAAGATGGACATTCTAGCCATAGCCTACTGTATGACTTATATTTCCCATGTAATGAGAATAATTTTGATATAATCTGCATTTCTGAATGGGAGGGTATTTTGCTCATTAGTACTTTCTTCACATATATATAAAAACTAGTAAAGTTGATTTAATCTGATCCTGAACATCTTGCTTAACCTCCTGCTTAACTCTTAACATAGTTAGTTACTCCTCAAAGCATACCATTTGACTAGTCATACACCAAAGCTGACTGCTTTTTGAAGTCTATATAAGCACTAGAAAAATGATTCAATATGCCCCCCTAACTAACACAAGGGGAATCTGGTTTATGATGTTTTTGTTAAGTGTCATTTGCATAGAAGGCTTGGTATATCATTTAGCTTATGATCTGCTATTGAGTTGCTCTGTTAAGCTTTTAGTATTTGATCACTTTTATTAAGTGTGAGAATTAATCATCTCTAGGCTTGAGGTTTCTATTGTGTTTGCTTACCTAGTTGAAGTTTATGAATTAGGTGTTGAATTATTCAACTCTAACTCTTCGTGTGTTTTTTCCACTTCTCTTTTGCGGATTACAAGGTATTGGGACATCCGCCACCGAGGACCTTGAGGAGATGCGGTGAACAATTCAACAACTTTCTAGGAATTGTGCCGATGAACGAGAAAAAAGAAAGCATGAAGAGAAGATTAGAGACGCACTTAGGAATGACATTGAGTCCCTCAAGGCTCAAGTGAATCACTTAATCGGCTTGCCCCGCTTTCCGCCAAAAAGAAGCCGACTCTCTCCGTCAAAAAGCCACATTTATGAAGAGGATGAAAGTGATGGAAATAATACAAATGATGAAGAAAATGAGGGGGAACCCGAAGATGAGTGATTTTATGTTTGGTTGGATTGTTGTTTAGTTGGATGTTAACTTTGAATGTTACGTTTTGATGTTTGGTTGGATAGTTTTGATGATTGATGGGATAATTTGGATGTTTGATGGGATAATTTGGATGTTTAGATATAGTTTATAAAGTTTTTTTGTTGTTAAGTTGAGTTTTATTGTGGTTGCATTTTAGTTTGTGTTGTAATATTCTGCTGGCAGGTGGTGTAACAAAAAATAGGCAATGCTTGCCAAAAGTGTACTAGATTTACCGAGGGACTTACCGACAGAGTCCATCGGAATAATTATTCATTTTCAATCCAGAATTTTTTAATTAGCCAGGGAGTCCGTCGGTATGTTTGAACCAAATTTTTAAATTTTATTGAAAATACCGACGGATAGCAATCGGAAAATGAATATATTCATATTTTTAATTTTTATATTACTAAATTATTATTTTTAAGATATTTTTATTATTATATTATTTTATAATATACCGACGGATATCCGTCGGTATGTAAAAATATTTGACCAGCTGTTGTTAGAAATGTACCGATGGCATTCAGATGGGATCCGTCGGTACTTACCGACAGATGCCGTTGGTATATTTTACCGAGGAAGGATTTACCTACCAACCACTTACCGACGGATATCCGTCGGTAAAGCCTGATTACCGACGGATGTCCGTCGGTAACTTGCGTCGGTAAACAGGTGATTTTTAGTAGTGTTCCCCGTCCGTTAAACCGTTAACCCGATACCAATAAGCTATTAAGCTTCGATTTCGGTTCGATTCGGTTTCGAACACCCCTAATCCTAGCTCATCTAAATTGAAATAGAGAATTTGCTTAACCCCCCCCCCCCCCCCCCCCCCCCCCCCCCCCCCCCCCCCCCCCCCGACCGACACCCACCCCCCCCCCCCCCCCCCCCCCCCCCCCCCCCCCCCCCCCCCCCCAACCCCAAACCCACACACCCAACCCCCCCCACCGGAAGCGATGGGCGATTCATGCAAACAATAGTACAGCTCCAACTGGTCCAAAGCGTGAACATTACGCGATTAGCATATCGTAGCAGCATAAACCTAGGAAAACACAAAATCGACAAACAAAACCCATTGTTATTACCCCGTCTCGTGATTTTAAAACCCTTCCATTAGCACATTTTTCCCAGCAAAAGGGTATTCCTAGTTAAAGCCATAGCTTTTTTTTTTTTTTTTTTTTTTTTTTCTCATCTTCTTTTATTTCACAAGAATTAATTGCATTTTCTTCCTACCAGTTGTTAGCAATGGGGGTTACAATACATGCCAAATCAGACTCAGAAGTTACGAGCATCGACGCATCTTCACCACCACGGTCACCGAGGAGGCCGCTGTACTATGTTCAGAGTCCATCTCACTCGCAGCATGATCTTGAGAAGATGTCATACGGGTCGAGTCCATTCGGGTCGCCCGCCCATCATTACCACTGCTCCCCCATTCACCATTCCCGGGAGTCCTCAACGTCCAGGTTCTCTGCTTCGTTGAAGAACCCAGCTAGGAATCAGCTTACTGCCTGGAAGAGAATACCCAGGACGAATGACGACGACCCGGCAGATGAAGACGTCAACGATGACGAATTAGGAGAAGATGATGGCAAGTCTGGTGATGAGGGAAATGTTAGATTCTATGTGCTGTGCTTTCTCTTCTCTTTCGTTGTGCTCTTCTCCATCTTCTCCCTCATCCTTTGGGCTGCTAGTGTGCCGTACAAACCCAAAATCTTTGTTAAGGTACGTGAGAATGCTGTTAATTTCTTTTTACTCATTTCCGGTACAGTTATCCGGTCATGCAATTACTCGTGTAAATACAGCCCCATTTAACTCATTAAAATTACAAGGTCTCGAGACTTTATGTGGCACTATTATCGTACGAAATTTAAGGAAAATGAATATTTTTTAAAATTTATGATTTTAGAACAATGTCATAACATTTGTATAAATATAAACTTTGGTGTTCTTGGTTGTGTGGTTATAAAAGTTACCTTTTATTATAAAAATATAATACTGTATGTTTTTTTAAAATAAATTAATAGGAAATATTGCCGAACGAATTGGAAAGAAGGGACGTTGTACAATGTTGGAACTTTTTTCTTTTTCCAGCTATGGAGTCTGCAGTACCAAGATGGCTTGGCTCAGTATTATTAGTGTGAACAGTAGACTTTGGCTTTATTTCGATAACAGCAGTAATAATTACACTTTGCTTTTGTCAGTACGTATTGTTTACTATAATTAATGAGGACATGGGTTATAATCGTATGGTGGTGCAGAGCATGGTGTTCGAAAGTTTTAACGTGCAAGCAGGGACAGATAGGAGCGGGGTGCAAACGGACATGTTGACTCTAAATTCGACGGTCAGGATCTATTACCGGAACCCTGCAACTTTTTTCGGCGTGCATGTCACAGCTACACCACTTGAGCTTCACTATTACATGCTCAAGGTTGCCTCTGGTCAAGTAAGTCACATAATTTGAAAATTGAAATCCCCTTTTCTTTTCGTTAACTTTAGTTAGTGTAACTCTATTTTACACCTTCTGAAAATCAGCTTTTTATTCCTAGCTGTACACACTTTTCTGAGAAGAATCTTAGGGGTCGTTTGGTAGGGTGTATAAGAATAGTGCGAAATAAGTTGTATTAGTAACGCACGGGATAGTAATGCAAGCATTAGTTATATATATATATATATATATATATATACACATATATATATACTGTTTGGTGTGGTGTATTAAAAATTATAATGCATTGCGTAATTTTTAAGATAAATAGTTTTTTACGAAAACGCCCTCCATATTCTCTATTTTAAGGACAATTTTGTAACCATACTAATACATGCATTAATAGCCTTGGTATTAATAATCCCAATAAAAAAAATGCATTAATAGCCTTGGTATTAATAATATCATGGTTTTCTATGCATTACTTATAAATATGATGTATGTATTAGTTATACACAACCAAACAAAGTATTAGAAATGACCCCTTAATGTTAAAGGTGAAGTTGAGTTTGCATTTAGGCGTGGGGCTCCGTTGAGTGTGGAAAAATTAGTTGTTTAATTCTTGATGAGAAAACTCACAATAAAAATTATACTGTAAAAGTTTTTGGACTAGCTACTAGTGCATGGTTTGTTGGTGGGGGTGGGGGATTGAGGAGCTCGAGAAAGTGGTTTGTCTAGTGAGAAGTGTTATTACTATTGCTTTGGTTGGTGTGTTTCTGGGTAGCATGAAAAAGGCTGCAGAAAGTCTGTAGTCAGACTCATTGAATAAGGACTCGGGCTCCTTATTACCGGTTAGGCCCACTTTGGTTGTGATTAAAGTGTTTTCGTCTCCTTTGTATGGTTTCTAAAACAAGGAAACGAGGAAGCCAAGGTCACTGTAGCTGCCTATCACTACGCGCCCTAAAGACAATATTTTGATGGTGACTGCTGGCTGCAACAGGCCATCTGAAGTGAAAATTTTACGTTGTGTCTCATACAACTGGCATTAGTTATATGAGGCATCTTTTTTGTCTCACAGTTTTGTGAATCCAAATTTTTGTGAACCCAAAAGTATAAGATTGGGGTTCACAAATTTGTGAGACAAAAAGGAGCCTTACACAACTAATGTAGTTGTGTCAGTTGTGTGAGACACACAATAAAACTACACAATAAAACTTCTCATCTGTAGTTATATGGCTTAGCACGACTCCTTATACTGTATTTTGGTTGTTAAATTAGGTGAGCTCAAGCGCGGATTGAAGGACCATTGAATATCATCTCAACAATTAAAATGTAGGATACCCTTCCTGATAAAATAAAAAATACTCTTTCCGTTTCAGTTTATGTGAACCTATTTCTCTTTTGGTTCGTTCCAAAAAGAATGACCTTTGGAAACAATTTAGCTTAAATTTACAATTCTATCCTTAATAAGAAGTTTTTATAACTACATAAATATTTTGGGTCCTTTTTTGACTTGTTTAGGACCACAGATTTCAAAAGTCTTTATTTTTTCTTAAACTCCGTGTTCAGTCAAACAGGTTCACATAAGTTGGAACGGAGTGAGTACAATATAGGATACACTATATGTCAAATTGAATTTTACGGTTTATCTAGAGTCAATTGACCAATTCTAGTACATTATTTCTTTAAGTAAAAGGTGATCTGTCAAGAAAATTTGCATCAAGAATGTTTATAATCACTGTGCACTCCCATTATACCCTCTGACTCACTCTCTTCACAAAGGGTGTAACGGGCATAAAAAAAATCTTTCTTGACAAAAAAATTGTTATCTATTGAAATGAAACTTTTAAATGCCTGTGTACTTTAAAGTACAAGTAGACTGCCTAACGAGACCAGGACTGGCCCAGTTATGCTGGCGTGATTGGGCTGCCCTATGTCTAGCTTAGGGGTGTAATGTGGGCCGGGCCTGGGCCTAAACGGGCCTAAAAAAGTACGTTTGGCAGGCTCATTCTTACTCTATTGAACCGGGCGAGGAAGTTCCTGAGTCCCTCGCCAGGCGATTGTTTGATGGTGAATATGTCATTCACTCTGGCTTCTGCTTTCTTGGCCCCGGCATGGGCGGTGACGAACTTGTCGGCCATTTCCTCGGACGTTATTATGGAACGTGCCGGTAGTTGTGAGTACCATGTTAAGGCTCCCTCTGTTAGGGTTTCACCGAACTTCTTCAGCAGCACCGATGGTACCTGCTCCTTCGAGAGGTCGTTGCCTTTTACCGCCGTGACGTAATGAATGATATGGTCTTCGGGTCCGTTGTGCCGTCGTATATTTTAAAATACGGAAGCCAAATATACCCCTCTACTTTCAAATATTGTTTACTTGTACCCTTCGTTATACTATTGGGCTATCCATACCCCTACCGTCATACGTCATACTTTGTAGCAATATTGCCCTTAATTTGGACGGAGTGCCACGTGACAGCTCCTAAATAAAACTTCCCATTTTATTTTATACCCGATCCGCTACCCACTTAAACCCCTAATCCGACCCAATTAAAACTCAACCCACCTTAAAATCTACGGAAGAAACACACGAAATACACAGCAAAACTTACCCTTCTCCCCTCATTAAAACTTACCCTTCTCCCCTCATTAAAACAGATCCCCAAATCCAAAAACTAGGGGAATCAAATATGATATATTCATTTGAAATAACAGCTAGCTTATTGGTCGATTAGAACATGATCAGTTTCATTATTGATCGGTAAGTTGAGCATTTTATAGATCTGGCCAAAAATACAAAAAAAAAAAATTCAAGAATCATTCAACGAAACAACCGGCTAATATTCAGAACTCAGAACTCTAGAGACCTCAAATCACAGCAACGGGTTCTCTGCCCCTGCGGCGATAGAGCGATAGAAGTTTTTCTGAATACTCATGAGAACGTCAACTCTTTTTCCTTGGGGTAAATATCAAATGACTGCTCTGTTTCTGTCCTCACAAAAGCAAGGTAGTGCATCTTATTTAAGATTCAACATTTTAGCACCAGCCACTAAAGCCTGTATAACAATCAAATAAACATTTCACAACCCCAAATTCGCAAAAATGGGTGGAATGTCATCATGGTTCTTAGTCAATGGCCATTAACGTCAAATCCATTTGAAAAAAATAGACTACTCCTGCTATTATAATGTTTCTTCTGATTGTTGAAATGTTTCTTCTGATTGAAAGGTTCTTCTTGTTTCAATCGGCCAATTACGTTGAGATCTTAATAAAAAGTCAATATCCATTGTATAATTCTACAAATGATCACTAAAAAATTTGGAAAAATAAAAAGTTCAAATTCCAAACAATTTACAGATTTCTTTTTGGGAACGGGGGTGGTCTAATTCCTATTGGGTTTGAGTAACAACGCAGGAATAGGCACTAAAATCCTCATTATAAACATAGATTACAACATGAATTTTGACCTGATTATGTTTTGATCCAAATCCAAAAACGAGGGGAGAAGGGTAAGTTTTGCGGTGTATTTCGTGTGTTTCTTCCGTAGATTTTAAGGTGGGTTGGGTTTTAATTGGGTTGGGTTAGGGGATTAAGTGGGTAGCGGATCGGGTATAAAATAAAATGGGAAGTTTTATTCAGGAGCTGCCACGTGGCACTCCGTCCAAATTAAGGGCAATATTGCTACAAAGTATGACGGTAGGGGTATGGATAGCCCAATAGTATAACGAAGGGTACAAGTAAACAATGTTTGAAAGTAGAGGGATATATTTGGCCCTTTTCCGTTTAAAATATGGTGGCATTTTAAAGGTTTTGGGTATGGCATGTGGGGCTGCCTCCTCGCTGTGTGGCTGTTCCACGAACCGGTTGACGTCCCATTTTGGCAGAAGTTTCCGGGCGCCTGGTATCTTATCAACCCTTTCTTGGTGCTCCCTCATTTGGTCGCGGAGTGCTTTGTTCTCATTCTCCATTTCTTTCATTTTCCTCAGAATAGCTACGAGGGCGTCGTTACCTGCATCAACAACGATATGAGTGTTACTTGTTGGGGGAGGAGCGTGTTGCTCGTTGATGGTTGTTGGGATGTCAACTCATACGGTATTCCTACTCGCCCCTTGAGCGGGTTTGTCGAGTATACTGTTTAGGGTACTTGTCAGCCAAGCCTCTAATAACTTTTTCACTACAGGCGGCGCTTCCTCCGTCGTTGACGTGGAGGCTCCCTTCTCATTTGAAGTGGATACACTCCCATGAGGAGGAGGTGAGTCGCTTTGCCTGGATGAGGCGCTCGGCGTCACATTCTCCTCGTCTTCCTTGTCCACCACGTTGATGGTGCTTAGGAGGTTAGTAGTGACACCCATCACTGCTTTCAGTTTTCCTCTCTTTTTCCCGCCACTGTTAGCTTGTGCAAACAAGAAAAATGAAGCTTTTGTTTTTTTTTTTTTAGATCTAGAAGAAACTAAACTTTTTAACTAGGAAGTCCCCACCGACGGCGCCAAATTGTTTGACCAAAAAGCTTTAGGCCATTTTTGTTAAACTAATTTAATAAGTAGATAAAGGGTGAATCCTAGTTAAATGTAATAAATCCTTGATTTGAAGTTCGATAATTTTGAAGGTATGAGGCCGTGTTCAAATCAATGAATGTCAAGTGTTGAATGATTATCAATAAATATGAAAATGAAAACATGCAATAAATGTGACGAATGAAATTAAATGTAATAAGAAGGAATTTGTCACCCAACCGTTGAATGAGATGGATGATCCCTTCTTCTGACTATGGCGTGAGGCAACAAACTATGGAAATGAACAAAGTGTTCTTGGATTTTGTGAATAAAGGGGATGTTTAGTAATGAGATCAAACAGAGGAGGCAAAACAAGTTTTCTGTATATTCTTGATAGTCAATCCTTTACAAGATGTTCCCACCTAAAAGTTCAAAGAGATCTTTTATTCCCTCTCTTCCTATTTATAAGGGATATTCCTAGAAAACCCTAAAAAAGTACAATTGGGGGAATATTCAATGGAATATTCCTATTCATAATCCTAAGAATATTGTAACTGTTGCTGCTGCTTGTTCTCTACTCGACCTCGGCACTGGTCTCTCTCTGGGTGACTCCTCGCCACTGGGCCGTGCTTGGCTTCGACCTCGGCCTCAGCTCCCCCGTTTGCATTCACTAAACTCGACATAAATTTGACCCATACACTAACCTCATACCCAAAGATAACACTTTGGGTCTAGTTTGGAGGAATGAAAAACATTATGAAAGAAACATTAAAAGCCAAAGAAAGAGTTTTATATGGAAGCAAAGGTATTCTTAATAATAAACTTGATAGAAACACTATTCACACGGTAACATTCATTGGTGGGTATAGAGATTAGAGAGCAAAGGGTAAACGGTCTTTATTTTTTTTCCGATCAAACTTCAGGATATTGTGTTCTTGAAATTAAGTTATTCCAGTTCATACTTCAAGACTTTGAGTCTTGAGTTTTATTTTAGGTTTAAACTTTAGAATACTATGTCCTGAAATTAAGTTTTATCAGTTCAAACTTCAGGACTCTAATTCTCTTTAGTTCAATCTTTAGGGCACTAAAATAAAAAAATTTTAGTTCAAATTTTAAGGCATTGTATTTGAGAATTGAGTTCTTTTTTTCCCAACTGTTTTAACTTAAGGACACGTGTCCTGAAGTTCTAATTTTTTCACCTCAAACTTCAGAATACTGTGTCCTAAAATTAAATTTTTTCTGTTCAAACTTAAGGATACTATGTCATGAAATTATGCCTTTTCAATTTAAATTAGAGCTGTCTGAGGGGAGGGTAATGGGCCCTTATGGGTTAAGGGTTGAGGGTACGGAGAGGGTAAGGGTAAGGGAAGGTTCCTCAAGGGTGCTTTTCTTATAGGTATTTTTTTTAGTACTCTACCAATACCCCTACCGGTCCAAAGGGCGCAGTATTTAAGCGTGTGGTACCGGTAATTAGGGGTAATTTTAAATTAAAAATTGAAAAATAAATTATATTTAAATACAAACAAACTTTAATAGATGAAAAAAATTCAATACTTTTATTTCAATACTTATAAAAAAAAATTACATATATATATATATATATATATATATATATATATATATATTTNCCCAAATAAATTTATCTACAATGAAAAAAGAAGAATAGAGATAGAGTCGATGTGTTTAAGAAAGGTTATGGCTGTGAATGGCTTTTACAGTGGTAGCGGGCAAAAATAATGAGGAAGAAAGGTGAAGAAGATGAAATGAAAAAAAGAATAGAAAATGAAAGAAGAAGTATATTTAAAAAAAGAAAAAAAATACTGTAGCATTTGATACATGTATGGCGCGTGTTAACACAGCCACCACAAGAGTGGTTCAGTAGTTTGAAGAGGGTATTAAATTTACTTTAGATGAGAATAGTGGGCTAAAAGCTCGTCCGTAAAATTTAGGTATGTAAATGATTTTTCCGGACAAGTTTAATGGGTACTTTATGCATTTTCTCTTTAATTTATTAGTAGTAGTAATCAAATACTATAAGCCAACCTACGATCCCAGAAACAGTCAGCAGAAGACAAGCAATACCTACTCAAACAAACCATTACATGACAAATTCTCAAACTTTCTTGTCTCTCTCTCCGCGCACCGCCACAATCCAACTTTTATTCAACATTTTCACAATCTTTTACCAAAAGGGGTCTCTTTTTTACATACAAATCAAGAACTTTTTTTGTTTAACATGGAGAATATGGAAGAAGGGTTGTTATTGAAAGAAAAAGAAGATAAGGGTGTAGTTGAATTGAGATGGGAAGTAATTTTGGAAGAAATGAAAGAAGTTGGTTATTTGGCTGGACCAATGATAGCAGTAACACTTTCACAGTATTTTTTACAAGTAATATCAATGATGATGGTTGGTCATTTAGGTGAACTTTCTCTTTCAAGTACTGCCATTGCTCTTTCTCTTGCTGGTGTCACTGGTTTCAGCTTCCTTGTAAGTACCTCTATCTATGATTTTTTTTCTTGAATTTAAGTTATATATAGTGACGGTATTTTGAACCGTGGAATCAGTGACCGATGCTTGCATCAAGACGGCCTACATCACAGAGCCAGAATTTTTATTAAGGAGAGTCAAAATATAAAGAAATAAACTCACCAAGAAGTCAAGGGTGTCAATATATATATATATATATATATATATATATATATATATATATATTTTTTACAATTTACGGAATTGTTCAATAATTTCTATTGGTTCTTCACTTGAAATCGATAGCACTTGTTGTTCTCCATCCCCGCTGTCCCCGGTTGATAGTATTTCACCATAAGCATCGTTGTCTTCTTAAATTATTTTTGGAAGGCCAAAGTTTCTTCTCTTCAAGTATTTTAGCAAGTCTTCATCGCAAATATTATTTCTAAGTTATCTTTAAGTTTGAAGTATAAGAATAACGAAGAAAAAACATAAAAAAATTATTAAGTTATCTTTAAGTTGAATTCTCAACTTTTATTAACAAGTGATGTTATCAAAGAAAAGCTGACTACTTGATAAAATTTAATACAAGGAAAATGAGAATTTGAATCTTAAAACTAAGGCTCAAATTCTTTGGAGGTCAATTGCTCGTTGGTCTAAAGAGTACCACTACTAACACCAAGAGTTTTTGTTGATGCAGTTCCTACTACTTCTTTCTCTCCTTACTCGGTCTAATGTGTTTTTAATGCTTTAAGTAGATGAAGAAGTTTTATCAGCCAAGGAAGAGTAACCGTATTGTGGTGGCTGTTCTTCAAGGACACCAAATTCCCCTCTATGGCGCGATTCCACTTCTTAGTGATGCTAAAGACCGGATTCAAGCTGTCTCTGTGCCGCTCAACTTAACAATCCTAATGAGGTCAAGGGCCTATATATTAGGAAGGCTGGTGAATCCCAAGTTCTACGTTCATATCTCATGTGAAGTTATTCTCAAAGGCAAACACCTAGGCAAGCACATCAACTTGACCAGTTCTGGCTCTTGTACTTATCGATGAATTCTTCTTTCTCTTTTGTCGAGCAACTTGAAAAAATTGGTCTGCTTCTTGTTTGCTTAAAGGTGATCAAATAGTAGTCGTACAACTTGCTGAAAGATGTATATTGATTAACTGTAGGAGAATATATGTTGTGTGTGAAACATGACTTTTGTCAATTAGAATAGTATTCTTTATCTGTAATCTAAACTTTGGAACTTCATTTCTTACATAGAATGATAGAATTCAATTTATTTTCGGACGTTCTTCGTGTCTAACTTCATAAACCTTGATAAGCTAAAGAAAAAAAACCTTCATATTCGATCCGAACGCCTGTGCTAGTGCGCCTAATACATTTTGTTTTGGGGACTATAAAGACGTAATGACACGTATGTGGACCATTACCATCCAACCTTTCTTTTTTTTCCTCAGTTAAATAAAATTCTCCACTTTTTTGGGGCTCGCGCAAAAGCAGCTTTGGGGAAAATTTTATTTTGTGTCTCCTACAACTAATACTATTTGTATTAGGCCTTTTTTTTGTCTCACAGTTTTATGGACCTAAATTTTGTGGACCCATAAGTGTAAGATTGGGGTCCACAAATTTGTGAGAGAAAAAGGATATTAATTGTGTGAGACACGCAACATAACTTCTCACCTTTTGGAGTAACTACGTACTCCATTCCTTACCCCCTTCTATTGAATTCTTTTTGTGGCCAGTCCACTTTGTCAAAACATTAGATTTTATAGTTGGGAAAGAATCTAAGCGCAAATTTCAACCAAGATTGACTGTAATACATTGCGAAAGAATTTGAATATTCAACTCAAAACTTTAAAAGAATTGGTGGAGTGAATACCAGTAATTCTATTTTAAAATTGTATTGAGAAAGTTATCTAAACTAGAAATCCGGACTATAAAGTCACCAAATTAATCTGGAAAATCGTAAATGTTAGGTTTTGTGAATAAGAGTGCATGGGAAATGAAAGAGACACCTTTTGAATTGTACCTCTTCATCTCACCCTTTCATTGTATATATTTAGAGGCTCATTTGTTTTTTTTAAGATTAAGACGTCTGAATCTGAATACACATCTGAATATCAAGATGTGTATTAAGATTAAGACATCTGAATCTGAATACACATATGAATATATTATGATGTGTATAAGATCTGAATACTAAATAATTAAGACTGTTTGATTTTTAACATCTGAATGTATAAAATTTATCTTTATTTGAAAATTAATAAACATAAAGTTCCAATGAAAACACTACTAAAAAATCAGGCTTTAATGACAGACAAATTCTGTAGCTAAACAGAAAAATCCGTCGCTAATCTTATTTAGCGACGGATTAGCAACGGATTATCAAGAAATTCTGCTAGCTACGAGCGTTTTAGCGACAGATTAGCGACGACATTCGTAGCTAATTTCAGTTTTTTTTTTTGTAGTGAATATTAACTAATCTAATATTCTATCACTAAAATATATAGTTTTTTAAAATATGATAGTTGTTGGTGGTGATGACTAACGGGTGAATGCCGACTAGAGGCGGTGGTTGGTGGTAGTTTTGGTTGATGATGGTGGTTCATGCTAGTAGCTAGTAGTGGTTGGTAGTCGTGACGATTATGATTGAGGATGGTGGTGGTGAAAGTTAATAATGGCGGGTGGTGGTAGTAGTTGTGACTGAGGAAGGTGGTGGTTGAGTGGTGGTAGGTTATAATGATGGGCAGTGCCGGCTGTGGTTGTTGATGCTGATGGGGTGGTTGGTTGTGGTAGTTGAGGTGGATGATTGTTGATTTTGGGTGAGAATGATGGTGATCGGAGTGCTGGGGGATAGTGGGTGGTGATGGTCGATAATGGTGGCGGCTATGATTGAAGATGATGGTGGCGTGGTGGTGGTGGTGGTTGAGTATGGTGGCGGTGGCGGCATGGTGGTAGTTGATAATTGTATGCGGTAGCGGCAGTTAATAATGAATATGTGATAGCATCTTAATGAAATTAAGTCTTTGTTGTAGATCTTAATCATACAGACCTATTCAGACCCATTAAGTGGTTGTGAAGTAAAAAAACAAACATACTTAATGATTAAGATCTGAATAATTAAGATTTAGACTTTAGAAACAAACGCACTTAATGTCTAAGATCTGAATGATTAAGATTCAGACATCCGTTAAGTGCAAACAAATGAGGCTTAGCCTCATTTTTAAAACATGAAAAATCTGAAAGCTTGTCCCCTCTTTTTTACATTGTTGCATTACTTTTTCAAATAAACATAACTGTCAAGTGTGATTTGCTATGTTTGTTGAGTTCGCTGAAGTTCTGTGATTTGTAATGCCGCTATCACTGTTACACCCCATGTTTTCCTACGTGAAAGTGCACCATAATAATGGAAACTCGGAAATGAGATGTTACATTTCGCATTTTCGAACGTTAAAATTTCGTCGTAAGTTAATCGACGGAAGTTCGGGAATGAGATTATTTTGAGATTATAAGCATTATGCTATTTCAAACAAGTGATGAGTAAATTCATGAAGGAGGGAGGGTAAGCAAATCGAAGAAGATGAATTTCGTCGAAGTTTGACATTTTGGGATAAAATACGGCCCGAGCTAAAATACCTGATATTTATGGATGACCGTAATAGTAAGGTGTATAAGGTATGTTAAAAGTGAGTAGTATTTTAAGTAATTTGAGATAATTCTTAATTATGTGGATAATCGGGTAATTACTGATTTTAGTGGAAGATTAGCAATTAATTAAGATGTTGGTATCTAATTGGTTGGGAATGGCTAAGAATTAACGTGGCAGCAACATAATTAACTTAAGTGACTCTTCAAATTACTTGATAATGTGTCATTCTTAAGGTCTTAGTCATCACCTTAGTGGGGCCCACACCCACTAAGGTATAAGACTCTAATTCATGAAGAGATGGATTCTCTTAATGAATCCAACGGGTATAAAATTCAGCAAGGTAACGATTGTATGTAGAATATTTCGTCCAAAATTATACTACGTAACAGCGACGGGATTTTGCGATTCAAAGAAAGTACGGTACAATCTTTCCCAAGAATATCATACGGATTTTCCCCTACTCCGATCCGTCGTTACGTGTTGTTGCAATTGACGTGTGTTAGAGGGATTGTCAAGAGAATTGGCTCAGGTATGTTAAGGTTGTCCCTTCTTTTCTGTTGGCATGATCCATACGATACAAATGGAACGAGCAAATGCACAACTTCCATAAATGACTCTATTCATAGAAGTATTAGAAGTGTCCATGTTCTTGAATTCCCATATGTCTTATTATTCCATCATCTGTTCATGGGACTCAGAATATACGTAAATTGATTTTATGATATTAATCAAAGGCATAATGGTCTTATGACACTCCGAAAAGTTTTATTGACGTACTTCTCATGCATTGCATTCATTTACATTGACCCATGACCAGATGGCATTATATACGCGTATATATGAATATTATGTGTATATGGGATATGGAAAAAGGTTACGGCGTTATATACGCACCACAACCTGATCAGCTGGTATACATTAATGATTTTGCCCATAGTGGCTGAGATGATATGATGGGATGCCCTCAGAGGCCTGATGATATTATGAACACATGTACTTATGCACGACATGATATTCATACGCATATGCATGACACTAAGTATTTCATGATTTACAGAGTTGTCCAGACTTACAAGTTGAGTTATGTACTCTATATTTCTTCCATGTCTTTTATGTACTTATTTATGTGCCTTACATACTCAGTACATTATTCGTACTGATGTCCCTTTTTGCCTGGGGATGTTGCGTTTCATGCCCGCAGATCCTGATAGACAGGTCGAGAGTCCTCCAAGTAGGCGATAAGCTCAGCGGAAGATGTTGGTGCACTCCATTTGCTTCGGAGTTGCTTGTTTGGTCATTATGATTTAGATGTGTATTATTTGGTATGGCGGGGCTCTGTCCCGACCTTTATGATAATTATGTATTCTTAGAGGCTTGACAGATGTCATGTACGTAAAAGATTGTCTGGCCTTGTCGGCCTATGTTCAGTGTACGAGTGGTTTTATTGGTTTTAGAGGCCCATATGTCTTATGTATAAGTTGGTATTACATGTTGTATTCTACCTATTTCACGGCAGCCTCTCCGGCTCAGTTATCTATGATAGTATGATACGAAAAGATACATTATGTTGGTACTCGGTTGAGTAAGGTACCGGGTACCCGTCGCGGCCCATCGATTTAGGTCGTGACAAAAGTGGTATCAAAGTAGTTCTGTCATAGGGAGTCTACAAGCCGTGTCTAGTAGAGTCTTGTTTATGGGTGTGTCGTGCACCACACTTATAAGCAGGAGGCTACAGGGCATTTAGGACTGACACTCTTTCTTCTTACTCTAGATCAAGGGGTAGAGCTCAGTTGTAAGAACTCAATTTTCTAAACTCTATAATACGGCGATGCCTACATCTAGAAAGACGGTTGGTAAAGATTAAATGTAGCTGTGGAAGAATTGAGTCAGAGGAACTCGATTTTTTATGATACTTATGATGAGTAAATGTAAGTTCTTTAGTAGATCATGTGTGTACTAAGACGTGTAAGCTTCTTGATAAGGAGCCTTAAGGCAAGAATATCTATCCATCCCTATGGTGAAAGACAATGAGAGATTCAGAAGATAGATACAAATTTCAACAAGTAAAAGAAGCAAGATGAAGAAGGGTACGAGGTACCCAGTTAGTGAAGATGATCATTATTTACAATTCAGGAAAAGAGATATAAGCATTTTGATGTTGCCTTCAACAGTAACAAAGGTATGTTCAATCAGCCACATCCATCTCAGTTATGCCCTATGAGGGCTAACATGTGTAGTTTAAGAGGAGGACGGGATATCAGGATCCAGCTGGGGTTAGAGTAACCCAAAATGGTGAATGGATTGTTTGCGTTAGTTGACGTTTCAGAAGGACATTGCAAATGTGCTTGTATTGATCTCTTTGTGGGACACCCAGATGGTGCACTATAAAATAGTACAACCAGATATGAGTACTCAAAATTTCTAATTTTTAAACCCGATCCTATGTCGATATATCATATGTTATAGCTCATTTTGAGCCTATTTTCTGATACCTTTAGAGTGAGAAAGGGTTCTTCATCAAAAAATTACTCAACCTTTGCTTAAAACCTTGAAGATTGTCAAGTAAAGTTCACTAAGTCTTCACCTTAAAGGTAAGAATCTATGCCCTAGCTTTCAAATTCAAAATT